AGTGTCTCGCGACACTGGGCGTAGTGACCGTCCACCCATGAGAAAGGGGCAGGGACGAGGGTCCGCAGTTGGTGCAAAGACGCAACAACGGGATGGACCGTCAAAAAACGGACAGGATCAGTAGGTGCGGAGCACCCTACTGGTCCAGCAACGTCAAGAGAATGTGCAGGCCTCTTGACGAAGGTTGCTCCCAACACACAATCATTGTGCGTTGCTGCTCTAGGTAATGAGATCTCACTCATTGCCTTGAAACTCGAAGTGACGAATAAGTTGTCCCTTCGAGCTCTAGTCGATTGTGGGGCGTCCAACAATTTTGTGCGACGCCAATCGCTAGAAGATGGTCACTTTAAATTCAGTGAATGTGACACACCTCCTACGAGGATGACGGTACGTCTTGCGACAGGCGCATCCGTAACCGTCATGAAGCGCATAGTGAAGATCCACTATACGCTAGAAGATACCCAATACGACGATGACTTTATCGTATTGGATTGGATGACAAATGTGATGTCATCCTTGGAATACCGTGGCTCAGAAGGTACGAACCACGGGTAACTGGCAACATCGAACAGTAACGATGCCTGCCGCTTGTTCATCAGATGGCCATCTGATGAACGTTTTGGAGCGTCCACAAGCGTGTGGATGTACTACGAGTGAGTGCGATGGCCTCACTTGTGGTACGGTCGTTAGTACGACTGCACAAAACCTTAGTGTACCAAACGGTTACACTTCGGAGCAAAGTTCCGGCGGCTGTGAGGAAACACAGGCTGCGCCGAAGGTCCACCACTCGAATAAGTCGGGTGGACTGGGACAAAGATGTATCCCTAGAGGGGAACATCTAGAAGAGAAACAATCGATCGCTCAGGTTAAGCGAAACGATAATCCTAGATCGACTGGAGAGTCTTTCGTAGAGGATCTCGCTGTGGTTGCGCAACCTCAGCTAGAGAAAGTTAAGGGAATAAGCCCCGATAGTACAAATACGGCGGAAATAAGTTCCCCGAAACCCGCGGGAATAAGTCCCCGGGAAGACGAAGGAATAAGTCCTTCGAAGCCTGAGGGAATAAGTCCCCAGGAAATGACAGAGACATTGAATGTCATAGTCAATAACGGATCATGTGTAGGCGCTTATACACTTGATCTGATTGCGCCTCCGAAGTTAACTTCGGAGATCACTCAGTTGCCAACGCTCGAACATAAAAGATTCTTGCGTGATCTGCGTAGTGGCAAAGTCAAGCAGATCTGCATACTCGTCGCTGAAGACGAGTATGTAACCGACATAAGGTCAGCAACAGTGTTTACTGAGAACGAGAGAGTTCTCAGTAGTTCATCTATGGACGAGAGTGTCCTAGATGAAAAGACACGAATTGAGCGATATGAGTCCCAATCATGGGAATCGCTCACTTTAAGGAAAATCCTCTCTATGAAGATTTGGTTGAATTCAAGGATGTATTCCCTGAAACTGTTCCGTGCGAATTACCGAAGGATAAAGGTATTCGACACGAAGTCTAGCTTAAACCAGGCTCGAAGTACTGTGTCATGAAGCAGTGGCCACTGCCTCGTGAACAAGTACTTGCGATCGACAAGTTCTTTGCCGATCGTTTAGCAGCGGGCCATGTGAGGGAATAAACTTCCTCACATAGCTCTCCGACCTTCTGTGTGCGAAAAGCAACAGGAGGGTGGCGGATAGTGCACGCGTTTAACAAATTGAACGCTGCAACGGTACCGGCACAGAGTACCATCTCACGTACCAAAGGACGACGTAATCATTGATGGTATGTCAAAGAGTACCATCTTTTCGTCCATGGATTTGATGGATGGCTTCTATCAAATCCTTATGCGGGAACGGGATATACCCTATACCGCAGTTAGCACGCCTAGCGGCATGCTCTGGGAATGGCTAGTAATGCCACAAGGGCTCAGTAATGCCCCTGCCACGTTCAAAGGATGTGTATCACATCTGTTGAGACCAGTACGAGAATTCGCGCCGAGTTATTTCGATGACGTATTCATTTATAGTCGGGCTATGGATGGAAAGTCGGACGTTGAGGTTCACAGATACCACGTCCAGCAGGTTCTTACAATCATGCGAAAGCATCAATTGTATGCAAACCTCAAGAAGTGTATATTTGCAGCAAGCGAAATACCACTTCTTGGGTGCATCGTTGGTAAGAACAATGTACGTCCTGATCCCGAAAAGATCAAGGCGATCACCGACTGGCCTGTGCCGGTTGATGTCAAAGGTCTTCGAAAATTCCTTGGGCTAGCGGCGTATTTGCATAAGTATTCACGCAATTACGCCGAGATGACTGTGCACCTCTCTCGTTTGTTGAAAAAGAACGAGAGGTGGTTATGGAACGCTGAATGTCAACGCTCCTTTGAGGGTATCAAGCAGAGCTTGATACAATCCCCAGTCCTAGCAATAGCCGATCAGGACAGGCCATTTCATATGGTCTGTGATGCCAGCGATTTCGCAATCGGCTGTGCATTAATGCAGTACGATCTTGAAGGCGTTGAACGCGTCGTCTGCTATCAGTCGCGTCAGCTGCAACCAGCTAAGCGGAACTATCCAGTGCATAGCAAGGAACTCCTTGCCACGAAGTATGCACTCGCGAAGTTCAGAGTCGATCTATTAGGAGATGACCCTTCATTGCTTACACAGACCATGCGTCATTACGCACGGCAGTGAACAGCCCGCACCTTTCACAACGAATGGCGCGGTGGTTGTCATTCTTTGCGGAATACAACTTTACGGTAGAGTACAAACCAGGACGCCTTAATGTCGTAGCTGATGCCCTTTCACGTCGACCCGACTTTGAAACAGTCGTGAAACCCAACAGTGAGACAGCTGCTGTTGCGGTTATGACGTCCTCAGTCCCATCTACAACGTTGTATGATGATGTGAGGCGGGCATACGCCCAAGATGGTGAGATAGTGAAGTTGTTGTCGCATCTCTCCCAACCATCTCGAGAATCGTTGCAACGATTGTCGTCTGCGTATCGATCTGCATCAGATCGATACACTGCTCGCAACGGTTTACTGTGTAATACAGCCGTTACTGTTGTCACACCACGTGTTGTCATTCCAGATGATACTGATCTGCGTTTGCGGATCATGTTCGAGTATCACGATGCTCCTATAGGAGGACATCGTGGCCGTGAGAAAACATATCTCACGGTGAGTCGAGACTTTTACTGGCCCCGCCAGTATCAGTTCGTGCGAAGGTATGTTCGCGCATGCGAAATATGTCAACGAGTGAAGTCAAGTCCTTCACTGCGTGCACCTTTACAGCCTCTACCAGTTCCGGCAGAGTGCTGGGAATATATCTCAATGGATTTTGCCTTCGGGTTACCCAAAAACGCACGCGGGAATACGGGTATTCTCGTATTTGTTGACAGATTCAGCAAAATGGTACACCTTGTAGCTGTACCAGAGACAATCACGGCAAGTGGCTGTGCTTGTGTCTTTATTGACACCATCTTTCGACATCATGGGTTGCCCCGTGAACCCGTATCAGACAGAGATCCACGATTCACTGCTGATTTCTGGCGTTCCGTGTTCAGATCACTCGGAACGCGCTTGAAGATGTCGACATCTGATCATCCAGAGTCAGATGGTCAGACGGAACGTGCCAATCGTGTCCTTGAAGAGATACTTCGAAAATACGCACACTCATTTAGAGTTGGAGTGAGTTTTTGCCAATGGTAGAGTTTGCCATCAACAACTCGGTGCATGCGTCCACGACACATACACCGTTTTACGTGAATGGCTTGCGCCATCCGCGTGTACCCACCTTACTAGAGTGTAACTCTGGTTTAAGCGAGGGGAGACTCGCGCGAGCAAAAACCGATTTGGTTCACGCTCATCACGCTCTGACGAAGAGGTCATTGCGTTTGATGCGGATATCGACAACATCGAGATCGAAGAAGATGATGCCAGTGAGAGCGAGGAAGCCCTCACTGAAGAAAAGATCGATGTCGCTGCAGTGCACTCACAGCGCACTGAAGCTAACGAGTCATTAGATGTGTTCATACTGGCTCGTGAAACGGTAGTCCGTTTTGTGCAAGACTCCATCGCCGAAGCGGTGGATAAGCAAAAGCAAAACGCAGACAAGAATGGAAGGGCAAACACTCTTTCATTTAATAAAGGTGACTTAGTCCTACTGTCTGCGGTTAACCTACCAAAGTATGTAGTGACTAACTTGGGTAGTCGTAAACTTCTACCCAAGTACATCGGCCCATTTCGTGTATTGCATCGCCTAGGCAACGCGTACACGATCGAACTGCCACTTAAGATGCGAACGCATCCCACGTTTTACGTTGGTCGGCTTAAGCCGTACGATCAGTACGCTGTTTCTTCCGATGAAGAACGCCCTTGCGCTCAAGCATCTCACAGAGGGCCTTGTGCTCCCGATGGCGGGCATCAACAAGGGTCTACTGAGCAGTTATCTCAGCCCGAGACCGGTCGATATTCACACGAGCTACCCTTAGCTCGTCACGCAGAGAAGTAGAGCTCTCTCGTTCTAGAGCTGAGCATAGGCAAACTCAGCTCGATGCTTCGAGGCAGTGTCCGCCATTTGGAGACGCCTATTCCGCTCATGTTCGAGATCGTCGCGTAACCCTAGCGTTACGCGACCAAAGAAGCTCTCGAGAACATACGATTCCCCACGATGGTTTAGGGAGCGTTTTCCCTCCTCCTCCACCTACCTCCATTAGAGGACTCTCGCGGTGGCCAGCGCTATCTGGTTAAGCAGCTGGTGAACCACCGCGACGTGAACGGACGTCGGACGAGTTATCTCGTCCGGTGGCGCGGCTATCCCCCGTCCTGGGATTCTTGGGAGCCCCGCTCCCAACTGATGATCGACGTACTGGGTCTGGTCGAGCAGTACGACGCGGCACATCCTGTGCTGCAGAAGGACCGCCGGAGAAAGTCTTCCCGGCACGGTGGTAAAGGGATTTCAGGTTGTCAATCCCTTCGTACATCTCAGTAGAGACACGTACGCGTCACCACGGGCTGGTAAGGAGGTAAGCCTCCTTAGGTGCTCGTGCAGAGTTGTTCACACAACATGGGCACGAGTCTCCCCAAGAAAGGCAGGGTAATCCTTTCTCCCTTGACAGACGATGCAGCTTGTAGCGTGCACCTCTCGGGGTTCGCTTTTCAAACTTATCACGAGCTTTGATAAGTTTGTCGTTCCAAGCGTCACGACCTACATCCTCGAGATTATGGATGTAGGCGTTCCACGCCTGAAGTAGTGAGGGACCATCACGTTTGTGATTCCCACTGTACCATCGATGTCTGAAGAAAGCATCGATGAAGAACTCATGTTCAGCGCGATAGTCTTTCGCGCTGGGGTCAAGGTGATGAATCCTCGACGAATCGAACAATCGTGTTCGATAACGATCACTCGTCGTCGCCGACAAGTGATCCATGACAGATTTAGGAGGCATCCATGCCTTCTTTTCTGGAGCGAGACGCAACACATTGCGGTCCCGCTCTTCCTGCGACGTGCCGACAGAAGTACTGGCACCTCGCTGTGAAGTGGTGTCCATTGGAGAAACGACACCACTATTAGCGCCCGAGTCTCGCGACCTCGAGCGCCTTCGCTTCGGCGATGGTTCATCTGACTCATCAGATGAACCAAAGATGCTGCGACGCAAAGCATCGTCCATGCCACGCTTGGCAGGCGGCTTGGATTCAATTGCCGTCGATACGGATCCGTCATCCGTATCAGGAGAGTACGAGACACCGAGCTCGTACTCTGTGAAGACACGAGTGTCTTCATGACCAGCGCCTGCATCACCAGGTGATACAGGCTGAGTCGATTCAGCAACCGATGGGACATCAGTTGCTGTAGTTTCTGCTTCGGCGTCCGCACAGAGACGTGCAGACGCGCTCTCGGCGGCCTTGTTCGCGCACCGCATGGACTTGTCAACCATGCGATAAAACTGATGGACTGCGGACGCGGACCAACAAGTGCAAACCCTGTCCCGAATGATTTGGGACGAGTATCCATTTAGTCAATCAGTCAATTAAGCGACTGATGGTTAAGGGGGGGTGATGTAACGGGGTGAATCGTTACATTACAATTTATAAGAAATTGTTAGTAGAATATAACTATAAGAGTTACATTCTCAGAATACTTTCATAAGGACAAATGTTCTGCAGCACTTACGAGTAGTTCCTAATTGGTTGATATAGGCCATGATATCAACCAACGAAGACGCGCCACGACAGACGCACGCAATTAGTGGTGAGCAGATAGTTGATATGCACATTTGTATTTAGACATAGTTGGATGAGGATAAACAGTGGTTTATTAACAGACACTAACTGTTACAAATACAGTTCTACTTTTTACTTTAACCGATTACTCGCTTCTCCTTACCATCTTCCTCTGCACGTACCAGTGTACGTGAAGTTACGAGGCACCGCCTTATTCTGTCGTCAGAATAAGTAGCTTTTACTGTCATCAGTACAAGCTTCAGGGTGCCCCGTTACTCAAGGTCCTTAAAATGTGTGCAACCGTATAAGTCTAAACGTTACCGCTAGAGAATTTTAGCACCACAGAGAGGTGATCTCTTAAAGAAGCATCAACCTTGGACAAAGAATTTTCGGGGGTTCCTGGACTAGCTGGCTCCCAGAGTATCTGGTGAGTTGGCCCCGACGAAAGGGACATTCTCGGGTCGTTAGTTTCACTAAATAACTATTACGTACGTACCTATTTTGTTTAAGAGGTAAGTAAGTGCGACAATGAGCTACAATATAGAGGTTATTCTGCTTGTGCTAAATGGAGTGTTCGGTGCAAAATTTGCGCCTTGCTGTGGGCCATGTTTGAAAAACATTGAGATCGGTGGATGCTATCGTGCAAGTGTATGAACATAGAGCATCGCAGTACTCTTGCTTTCAGGATCTATGTGTTAGGGTATGCTGAATTCATTTAGTAATATTCGATAGAAACAACTGGATGGATGGGCTCTTTATGCTCTTAACAACATCGAGTTATATACAAGTGAGCGATAGGACGCCCGGCACGACTGATTTTTTTGCATCGCGGATTAACTGTAGCTTCAAGGGTTCTAAAGACATACCGATCTCCAGTTCAGACGGTCTCAAGCCCTCCATATGTAAGACCCCCATCAATTTTGCTGATTTATCAGGGGACTCTATTTAAATTGATTACAGATCCTTGTCCGTCGAATTAAACAGTCATAAAGATCTAAATCCATTACAAAGATCAATTCTAAGACGAGTAATCACCGTTGTTACTTTTTTAGCTGGACGACGAGTCTTAAGCTCGTTTGTTGGGGCGTTGTTAGAATGTGCGTCCACAAGAAGGTAAAATGAATACTTAATATATTTGAGGTGTTAGCGACTTAAATTTCCTACTATCTTAACGGTGCTCTCAGTTCCCACATAACTATCTGATCCGTGCTAACTGTAACAGCATCTTGTCTCCTACAACGACCCGATATGGCCATGTCTCATAGCAGCACTAGTTCGGCATGTCTCTGACATGAATTCCAATCACAACACGCCCCTCTCGAAGAGCACTCTTCGGTCACACAAGAATACTGACACAAGGCAAGCGCATCAACTTTCGAAGGCGCTTCTTGTCAAGAGGCTTGGTAAGCATGTCAGCTAGATTATTTTCACCTTTGATCTTGTGCATATCAATAACACCCTTTTAAACTTGTTCCCTTACGTAGTGCCACCGTAGCTCAAAATGACGCGTCCTTCGACTGTACTTCGGAATTTTCGCCATAATGCAAGCCGCTATGTTGTCACTACCAATGCGTACTTTAATCTGGCACTGTGGTTGTAGAATTTCTTGTAGGATGTTGTATTCGGCCATAGCTTCCATGCTTGCTTTACAGGCAGCGACATAACAAGCCTCCGCTGTCGATAGCGCGATGACACTTTGGCGTCTTAACATCCATGCGACGGCACCTTCAGCCAAAGTGAAAACATTTTCTGTGGTCTCTTACGTTGCTCGGGATCATTGGCCCAGTCACTGACGCAAGAACCTTCAATAACTAGTTTCTTAATGTTATCTTGTACTATGTCTGTATTCTGTCGAACGTTCGTATTACCATCATGCAATGTGCCTGCCAGATACCGCAAAGATCGTTTCAATGTGCCAACATGCTTAAGTTGTGATGAGCATTGAGTTGACTTAGCTGGCCTATTACAATCGCTAAATCAGGTCTGGTACTAGTCGCCGGATGCATAATCATATCGATAGCTTCACGATGAGAAAACTCAGTAATTTTTATCTGCTCGTTGTTCGTGTTGTCGCCCATTAAGCGCATATTGACTTCTATAGCGTTTCCCACAGCACGTGCTTTTTCATGTCCAAACTTTATTAGAATCTCCTTTGCATACTGTTCTTGACTTCTCGTGATCCTTGTATCTTTCTGGTGTACGTCAGTGCCAAATACTGGTTAGTAATTCTAGGGTCTTTAATTTCCACAGGTGCCATTTTAGTCACATAGCAGTCTTTTCTTGTAGTTGGCATTGTTTGTTGCGATTAAAATGTCATTAACATGGTCCAGGACATACACGATCGTGTCTTTATGAAACAATAATTTAGACATGGCCCGGTCCGTGACAGCTGATAGTCATCTTCAAAGAAACACTGGTAAAGCTCCGAAATTAGATCATTTCTGTAACGGGGTGAATCGTTACATAACAATTTATAAGAAATTGTTAATAGAATATAACTATAAGAGTTATATTCTCAGAATATTGTCATAAGGACAATATTCTGTAGCACTTCCAAGTAGTTCCTAATTGGTTGATATAGGCCATTATATCAACCAACGAAGACGCGCCACGACAGACGCACGCAATGAGTGGTGAGCAGATAACTGATTTACACATTTGTATTTAGACATAGTTAGATGAAGATAAATAGTGATTTATTGCAGACATTAACTATTATAAATACAGTTCTACTTTTTACTCTAACCAAGTACTCGCTTCTTCTTACCGTCTTCCTCTGCACGTACCAGTGTACGTGAAGTTACGAGGCACCGCCTTATTCTGTCGTCAGAATAAGTAGCTTGTACTGTCATCAGTGCAAGCTTCAGGGTGTCCCGTTACACCTGGTAGCACTTCGTAGTGCGTCCAAGGACCACGTTCACATCCAACATGAATATGTTGGATGATGAAGATGACCAAAGCTTTCACGCTACGCGTGACGGCTACTTCCATTTGAGCGATGTCGAATGGGATGCGGTTGAACGAATGGGTTCGACCATGGGCATCCATGCTGTTAGCGTCATGCTAGAGGCTCTCAATAGAGATGCCCAACATGCTACTATCGCCAAGTTCATTCAAAATGAACTTGACGCAGAACGCGAGAAAGTAGCCTTGCTTCACCAACAAGGTTCTCAACAAGCAGAGTTGTTGAGAGAACAAGGTGCTCAACAGTTTGAACTGTTGAGACAGCAGCAGGCTGCTGCTGCTGGGTCGATGCACTCGCGTCGGCCCGAGACTTTGAAGATTGACATCTCAAAGTATAGGGGGGTCGAAGAAGACTCCCTCTTGAGATGGTTCGTCGAATTGGATGACGCCATAAGGGCGCGTCGCATCGACGACGGGGATATGCAAGTTGCATTTGCCCAGTCAAATCTGGCAGGACGTGCCAAGACTTGGGCACTGGGGCTCAAGCTGCACGACCCATACGCGTTTGGGTCGTTGGAAGTCTTCAAGTCGCGGCTCAGACAAACGTTTGAACCGCCTAGAGCTGAGTTCAGAGCTCGAACCGAACTCTTGAAGCTCAAGCAGGGTAAGCGTGATGTGCACGCTTACGCTCAACATATACGACATCTCACGAGTTGTATAAGTTCCAATCCGGTGGATGAACACACGTTGGTTTCGGTGTTCATGCAGGGTCTTGCGGATGGTCCCGTCAAGACTCACCTGTTCCGGCTTGAACTAGATTCACTAGAACAAGCCATTTCAATTGCGGAGCAGGAAGACTTCAGTCTGAGACAGGCTCGCGCCAGCTCGACATCATATCGTCAACCGAGACGATATGACAACGGAGGTCCAGAGCCGATGGAACTCTGTTATGTAGAGAGCGAGAAGGCTCGCTCTACAGGCTACAAGAAGTTGCAGAGATGCAACAGATGTCAAAAGACAGGACACTACGCTTACGAGTGTAGTGCCCCTCGTCCAGTGTCTCGCGACACTGGGCGTAGTGACCGTCCACCCATGAGAAAGGGGCAGGGACGAGGGTCCGCAGTTGGTGCAAAGACGCAACAACGGGATGGACCGTCAAAAAACGGACAGGATCAGTAGGTGCGGAGCACCCTACTGATCCAGCAACGTCAAGAGAATTTGTAGGCCTCTTGATGAAGGTTGCTCCCAACACACAGACATTGTGCGTTGCTGCTCTAGGTAATGAGATCTCACTCATTACCTTGAAACTCGAAGTGACGAATAAGTTGTCCCTTCGAGCTCTAGTCGATTGTGGGGCGTCCAACAATTTTGTGCGACGCCAATCGCTAGAAGATGGTCACTTTAAATTCAGTGAATGTGACACACCTCCTACGAGGATGACGGTACGTCTTGCGACAGGCGCATCCGTTACCGTCATGAAGCGTATAGTGAAGATTCACTATACGCTAGAAGATACCCAATACGACGATGACTTTATCGTATTGGATTTGGATGACAAATTTGATGTCATCCTTGGAATACCGTGGCTCAGAAGGTACGAACCACGGGTAAACTGGCAACATCGGACAGTAACGATGCCTGCCGCTTGTTCATCAGATGGCCATCTGATGAACGTTTTGGAGCGTCCACAAGCGTGTGGATGTACTACGAGTGAGTGCGATGGCCTCACTTGTGGTACGGTCGTTAGTACGACTGCAAAAAACCTTAGTGTACCAAACGGTTACACTTCGGAGCAAAGTTCCGGCGGCTGTGAGGAAACACAGGCTGCGCCGAAGGTCCACCACTCGAATAAGTCGGGTGGACTGGGACAAAGATGTATCCCTAGAGGGGAACATCTAGAAGAGAAACAATCGATCGCTCAGGTTAAGCGAAACGATAATCCTAGATCGACTGGAGAGTCTTTCGTAGAGGATCTCGCTGTGGTTGCGCAAATTCAGCTAGAGAAAGTTAAGGGAATAAGCCCCGATAGTACAAATACGGCGGAAATAAGTTCCCCGAAACCCGCGGGAATAAGTCCCCGGGAAGACGAAGGAATAAGTCCTTCGAAGCCTGAGGGAATAAGTCCCCAGGAAATGACAGAGACATTGAATGTCATAGTCAATAACGGATCATGTGTAGGCGCTTATACACTTGATCTGATTGCGCCTCCGAAGTTAACTTCGGAGATCACTCAGTTGCCAACGCTCGAACATAAAAGATTCTTGCGTGATCTGCGTAGTGGCAAAGTCAAGCAGATCTGCATACTCGTCGCTGAAGACGAGTATGTAACCGACATAAGGTCAGCAACAGTGTTTACTGAGAACGAGAGAGTTCTCAGTAGTTCATCTATGGACGAGAGTGTCCTAGATGAAAAGACACGAATTGAGCGATATGAGTCCCAATCATGGGAATCGCTCAAGGAAAATCCTCTCTATGAAGATTTGGTTGAATTCAAGGATGTATTCCCTGAAACTGTTCCGTGCGAATTACCGAAGGATAAAGGTATTCGACACGAAGTCTAGCTTAAACCAGGCTCGAAGTACTGTGTCATGAAGCAGTGGCCACTGCCTCGTGAACAAGTACTTGCGATCGACAAGTTCTTTGCCGATCGTTTAGCAGCGGGCCATGTGAGGGAATAAACTTCCTCACATAGCTCTCCGACCTTCTGTGTGCGAAAAGCAACAGGAGGGTGGCGGATAGTGCACGCGTTTAACAAATTGAACGCTGCAACGGTACCGGCTCAGACGCCGATACCGAGGAAGGACGTAATCATTGATGGTATGTCAAAGAGTACCATCTTTTCGTCCATGGATTTGATGGATGGCTTCTATCAAATCCTAATGCGGGAACGGGATATACCCTATACCGCAGTTAGCACGCCTAGCGGCATGCTCTGGGAATGGCTAGTAATGCCACAAGGGCTCAGTAATGCCCCTGCCACGTTCAACAGGTGTGTATCACATCTGTTGAGGCCAGTACGAGAATTCGCGCCGAGTTATTTCGATGACGTATTCATCCATAGTCGAGCTATGGATGGAAAGTCGGACGTTGAGGTTCACAGATACCACGTCCAGCAGGTTCTTACAATCATGCGAAAGCATCAATTGTATGCAAACCTCAAGAAGTGTATATTTGCAGCAAGCGAAATACCACTTCTTGGGTGCATCGTTGGTAAGAACAATGTACGTCCTGATCCCGAAAAGATCAAGGCGATCACCGACTGGCCTGTGCCGGTTGATGTCAAAGGTCTTCGAAAATTCCTTGGGCTAGCGGCGTATTTACATAAGTATTCACGCAATTACGCCGAGATGACTGTGCACCTCTCTCGTTTGTTGAAAAAGAACGAGAGGTGGTTATGGAACGCTGAATGTCAACGCTCCTTTGAGGGTATCAAGCAGAGCTTGATACAATCCCCAGTCCTAGCAATAGCCGATCAGGACAGGCCATTTCATATGGTCTGTGATGCCAGCGATTTCGCAATCGGCTGTGCATTAATGCAGTACGATCTTGAAGGCGTTGAACGCGTCGTCTGCTATCAGTCGCGTCAGCTGCAACCAGCTAAGCGGAACTATCCAGTGCATAGCAAGGAGCTCCTTGCCACGAAGTATGCACTCGCGAAGTTCAGAGTCGATCTATTAGGAGATGACCCTTCATTGCTTACACAGACCATGCGTCATTACGCACGGCAGTGAACAGCCCGCACCTTTCACAACGAATGGCGCGGTGGTTGTCATTCTTTGCGGAATACAACTTTACGGTAGAGTACAAACCAGGACGCCTTAATGTCGTAGCTGATGCCCTTTCACGTCGACCCGACTTTGAAACAGTCGTGAAACCCAACAGTGAGACAGCTGCTGTTGCGGTTATGACGTCCTCAGTCCCATCTACAACGTTGTATGATGATGTGAGGCGGGCATACGCCCAAGATGGTGAGATAGTGAAGTTGTTGTCGCATCTCTCCCAACCATCTCGAGAATCGTTGAAACGATTGTCGTCTGCGTATCGATCTGCATCAGATCGATACACTACTCGTAACGGTTTACTGTATTATACAGCCGTTTCTGGTGACACACCACGTGTTGTCATTCCAGATGATACTGATCTGCGTTTGCGGATCATGTTCGAGTATCACGATGCTCCTATAGGAGGACATCGTGGCCGAGAGAAAACATATCTCACGGTAAGTCGAGACTTTTACTGGCCCCGCCAGTACCAGTTTGTGCGAAAGTATGTTCGCGCATGCGAAGTCTGTCAACGAGTGAAGTCAAGTCCTTCACTGCGTGCACCTTTACAGCCTCTACCGGTTCCGGCTGAGTGCTGGGAATCCATCTCAATGGATTTCGTCTTCGGGTTACCCAAAGACGCACGCGGGAATACGGGTATTCTCGTATTTGTTGACAGATTCAGCAAAATGGTACACCTTGTAGCTGTACCAGAGACAATCACGGCAAGTGGCTGTGCTTGTGTCTTTATTGACACCATCTTCCGACTTCATGGGTTGCCCCGTGAACTCGTATCAGACAGAGATCCACGATTCACTGCTGATTTCTGGTGTTCCGTGTTCAAATCACTCGGAACGCGCTTGAAGATGTCAACATATGATCATCCAGAGTCAGATGGTCAGACGGAACGTGCCAATCGTGTCCTTGAAGAGATACTTCGAGGATACGTACACTCCTTTAAGAGTTGGAGTGAGTTTTTGCCAATGGTAGAGTTTGCCATCAACAACTCGGTGCATGCGTCCACGACACATACACCGTTTTACGTGAATGGCTTGCGCCATCCGCGTGTACCCACCTTACTAGAGTGTAACTCTGGTTTAAGGGGGGGAGGGACTCGCGCGAGCAAAAACCGATTTGGTTCACGCTCATCGCGCTCTGACGAAGAAGTCATTGCGTTTGATGCCGATATCGATAACATCAATATCGAAGAAGATGATGCCAGTGAGAGTGCGGAAGCCCTCACTGAAGAAGATGATCCCAGTGAGAGTGCGGAAGCCCTCACTGAAGAAAAGGTTGATGTTGCTGCAGTGCGCTCACAGCACACTGAAGCTAACGAGTCATCAGATGAGTTCATACTGGCTCGTGAAACGGTAGTCCGTTTTGTGCAAGACTCCATCGCCGAAGCGGTGGATAAGCAAAAGCAAAACGCTGACAAGAATGGAAGGGCAAACACTCTTTTATTTAATAAAGGTGACTTAGTCCTACTGTCTACGGTTAATCTACCAAAGCATGTAGTGACTAACTTGGGTAGCAGTAAACTACTACCCAAGTACATCGGCCCATTTCGTGTATTGCACCGCCTAGGCAATGCATACACGATCGAGTTACCACGTAAGATGCGAACGCATCCCACGTTTTACGTTGGTCGGCTTAAGCCGTACCATCAGTACGCTGCTTCTTCCGATGAAGAACGCCCTTGCGCTCAAGCATCTCGCAGAGAGCCTTGTGCTCCCGATGGTGGGCATCAACAAGGGTCTGAAGAGCAGTTATCTCAGCCCGAGACCGATCAACAATCCCACGAGCTACCCTTAGCTCGTCACGAAGAGATGTCAGAGATCTCTCGTTCTCAAGCTGAGCAAAGGCAAACTCAGCTCGATGCTTCGAGGCAGTGTCCACCATCTGGAGACGCCTATTCCGCTCATGCTCGAGATCGTCGCGTAACCCTTGCGTTACGCGATCAAAGAAGCTCTCGGGAACACACCGATCCAAATGATCGTGTGGAGAGCGTCTTTCCTCCTCCTCCACCTCCATTAGAGGACTCTCGCGGTGGCCAGCGCTATCTAGTAGAGCAGCTGTTGAACCACCGCGACATGAACGGACGTCGGACGAGTTACCTCGTCCGGTGGCGCGGCTATCCCCCGTCCTGGGATTCTTGGGAGCCCCGCTCCCAATTGATGGTTGACGTACTGGGTCTGGTCGAGCAGTACGACGCGACACATCCTGTGCCGCAGAAGGACCGCCGGAGAAAGTCTTCCCGGCACGGTCGTAAAGGGATTTCAGGTTGTCAATCCCTTCGTACATCTCAGTAGAGACACGTACGCGCCACCACGGGCTGGTAAGGAGGTAAGCCTCCTTAGGTGCTCGTGCAGAGTTGTTCACACAACATGGGCACGAGTCTCCCCAAGAAAGGCAGGGTAATCCTTTCTCCCTTGACAGACGATGCAGCTTGTAGCGTGCACCTGTCGGGGTTCGCTTTTCAAACTTATCACGAGCTTTGATAAGTTTGTCGTTCCAAGCGTCACGACCTACATCCTCGAGATTATGGATGTAGGCGTTCCACGCCTGAAGTAGTGAGGGACCATCACGTTTGTGATTCCCACTGTACCATCGATGTCTGAAGAAAGCATCGATGAAGAACTCATGTTCAGCGCGATAGTCTTTCGCGCTGGGGTCAAGGTGATGAATCCTCGACGAATCGAACAATCGTGTTCGATAACGATCACTCGTCGTCGCCGACAAGTGATCCATGACAGATTTAGGAGGCATCCATGCCTTCTTTTTCTGGAGCGAGACGCAACACATTGCGGTCCCGCTCTTCCTGCGACGTGCCGACAGAAGTACTGGCACCTCGCTGTGAAGTGGTGTCCATTGGAGAAACGACACCACTATTAGCGCCCGAGTCTCGCGACCTCGAGCGCCTTCGCTTCGGCGATGGTTCATCTGACTCATCAGATGAACCAAAGATGCTGCGACGCAAAGCATCGTCCATGCCACGCTTGGCAGGCGGCTTGGATTCAATTGCCGTCGATACGGATCCGTCATCCGTATCAGGAGAGTACGAGACACCGAGCTCGTACTCTGTGAAGACACGAGTGTCTTCATGACCAGCGCCTGCATCACCAGGTGATACAGGCTGAGTCGATTCAGCAACCGATGGGACATCAGTTGCTGTAGTTTCTGCTTCGGCGTCCGCACAGAGACGTGCAGACGCGCTCTCGGCGGCCTTGCTCGCGCATCGCATGGGCTTGTTTACCATGCGATGAGATGTTGGAAAGTGGACGCGGACCAACAAGTGCAAACCCCGTCCCAAATGATTTGGGACGAGTATCCATTTAGTCAATCAGTCACTAAAGTGACTGATGGTTAAGGGGGGTGATGTAACGGGGTGAATCGTTACATAACAATTTATAAGAAATTGTTAATAGAATATAACTATAAGAGTTATATTCTCAGAATATTGTCATAAGGACAATATTCTGTAGCACTTCCAAGTAGTTCCTAATTGGTTGATATAGGCCATTATATCAACCAACGAAGACGCGCCACGACAGACGCACGCAATGAGTGGTGAGCAGATAACTGATTTACACATTTGTATTTAGACATAGTTAGATGAAGATAAATAGTGATTTATTGCAGACATTAACTATTATAAATACAGTTCTACTTTTTACTCTAACCAAGTACTCGCTTCTTCTTACCGTCTTCCTCTGCACGTACGAGTGTACGTGAAGTTACGAGGCACCGCCTTATTCTGTTATCAGAATAAGTAGCTTGTACTGTCACCAGTACAAGCTTCAGGGTGCCCCGTTACAATTTCCTGATTAACGTAGCCCAAAGGAGGCCTTCTGAACGGCATTTACATGTCCAATTACTTTTCGTGGATGTTCAATGATCGATCGCTAATACTGATTTATGCTGAGAGGGGCGTTGAGGTACGCTGCGTTTATATCTCAGCCATAGATGCCAAGTTCGAGCTTGGATGCTAGAGCAATCAGTCGCCGAAACGACGACATCAGTGCCACAGGTGCAAACGTATCTTAAAAATCAAGGCCTGGTCGCTGATGGTTCCCTAGGGCCACAATTTGTGCTTTTTTTCAAATCTGATCACGTGGCCTTGTTGAAATGTTTTCACAGCGTATGCCAACACATTATTAAATAAGATTGCATCCTTTGTACCGTAGCACCATCAATTTCTGCAATCAGACCCTTAACTTTAAGTGCAGTCATTTTTTTTAACTCTGCTGCCAGAAAGTATTCTTCCCAATTCAATTGCAACATCTCATGAAGACTTCTGGGAAGCTTTATATCTCTCCCACAAATAGATTTTCCGGTTCAGTCCAAAACTTAAGATGCCGTAAGACCTATTTTCATTACGTGATTATCGAAAAAATACGGCTGTTTGCACTCTCGTAGTAAGAGAAGTCCAGTCCGTGTCCTCTTTGCATCAAATTTGTGTGCGTCCTGTTCGACACGATGCGCGGCCGATGGTATTTTATGCGACAGATGCGTTTTTTCGTTATGTGATCAGGCGGGCGATTATTCGTCACATAGTCACTAATTCGCATCAGTTCTCCATGCTTAAACAACATATCTGGACCGAATCCGCTCGAGACAGTCTGTAATCCGCATTCTGGATCTTCTTCATCGTCCTTACAGGTTACAGATCTTGGTTTTAAATCTATATCATCTATCTTCATGTCGTATGTATCATGCTCGGCGACGGCAGACCTGCATGTACCTACTACGTACTGCTCTTTAACGTCAAATGTATCATTAGTTTTAAGGCCTATCATTTTAATTCGATTGCTTTTCTTAGACTAAGTGATCAGGTGCATAAGCCATATCGGAAATGGCGTGACCGAAACCCTCGATGGCAAAAGTAGTTTCATAGTTGCTGAGAGCGCTCACCATATCATCATAAGTGTACGTAATCTGTGCTCTATCGCCTTGGCCAAAGTGAAGCAACGAAAGATCATCCTCTTCCACATTTACACAATGACGATCGAGATAGACAATATTCTCGGTAAATCGTAGATCCGAGACAAATTTGGCTGTGTGTTCGTCATAAAATAATACTTTGCACCCAACCACATCTTCTGCGTAGCCAAGAACAAACCCGAATCAGACAATCAAATCATGTTTCTTGCGTCCTAGTGATACTCATATATGCGCGTACGCAAGAGCCCCGAATTTTCTGATATACTGTGTGTCAGGTTTTGCTTCAAAAATCATCTCGTACGGATTTCCTGCGTACTTTTGTTGTATACTCGGTTTTTAACGTACACTGCATTACGCTTAGCTTCGGGCCACAGACTCTAAAGAAAGCCTGATTGGGCTATAGTCTATTTTGTCATGCCTATAATCGACTGACGTGTACTCTTGCAAAAATTTATCTTCGAGCTTTTTGGTCCAACTTAATGTGAACAAATCCTTTCGAGTATTACCGAGCCTCGGTCGCATCATTGCTAAACTCGCCACCGTTGTCGCTGAGTACTTGCTTTACTCTGTATGATCGATCGCTGAAGTGTCGACCTGCATGCCGTTTTTCCCATAAAACGCATTCTCGCATATGCTGATTTTATATCTTACTATTCTAATTTATCATAAACTTGGTTGTTATGAACCTCGAGTTACCATCCTTAATTACCAGCACTGCCTCATTTTTAGTTGCATTTGCCTGTCAAGGCATCAGCAGATCCGCATATACCACTTGATTAGTCTCATTTGTCGCGCGATCGAGCTTCTTCCAATAAGTTGTTCGCTTTTTCTTTACGAGGTGACATGCGTCGCACGTTTTGCTGTCGTTGTGAAAGCATCATACCCCGTACCAGCCCCCTGTCCATCATGGTTTTTGGAGATACTGTGGACAGGTATGGCAAAGTAGTTCATGTTAAAGTTTTAATGACCCTACACCTTCGGCCATAGTGTAGTTGCACAGCGCATTCCACTGTGGCAACTGACCATGCCGCTGAGAACAAAATACCACTTAAATCCTCCAAGTAGCGTCGTGTGGTTGCGCCACAGCCACCTCCTGGTCTTCCAATAAAACATAAAAAATCTTGCGTGGTGTTATTAAAATGGAAGTCAAAACCTTGGTAAATTGCGAGGCCTGGAGAGAATAAACCATATTCTGCTCATGGAATATGTACGACATTGTCCAAATAAATGCCATCGTTCTCCCTATCTCTTCGGTACCCAATACATCGGTTCCCGTACCGGCAACACGTGATAAAATATTTGGCGCCACGCCACATGTGCTTTGCGCATAAGTACCCACTGCCGAGAAAGTCAAATAAATCGCTTAATTCCCAGTAACATGTGATATTGACGCCGTGTCATAATACACATAGTTTCACTCTTATTCTCAGTATCCTTGGGGCTGACGTCTGGAACATCTTCTGCAGCTTCCCTTACTCCATGAAACTCATCACCATAGAACTCATGTGGCGTTGAAGATATACCTCTTAGTACTTCATGTATCGGGGCCCCCTTGGTATGGGGTTCCGCGAAACTTACGTACTCTAGTACGTGCAGAGGAAGCTAATCTGCTCAAATTACTAGTTTTATTTGTTAAAAGTAAAAAGCGAACTGTGTTTTGTAAAGTTAATCTATCAATATATCTTCAATCTTTATCTAACAGAATTAAACCACGTCGTCGTATGACGACAACCTGTTCACCACTCTTTGCACGCGTCTAGCAGCGATTGGTGGAAATCTATGGTTGATACGTCTTTTATCTACCTATTTTTGAGCAGCGGCACTATGTTATCCTACAAGGGGATGACATTCCTTCAATATTATCCATCTCGGATAATATTGATATAATACTGTCATGCTAGACAATATGCCTATTGACACCGTTTAATGTCAAAACCATGTAACGGGCTATCCCGTTACATCATCCCCCCCTTACCATCAATCACCCGTTGATTAAATATAGTTTATTGGGATAGGGTGACCACCGTTGGATCACCCTGGGAAAGGGAGCACTTGCTGGTCAAATTCTAAACTCATTTGCCAATCCAACGCATGGTTTCAAAGCCAAAGCGAGTTGCTACTGCAGCGGAAAGAAAGGCGGCTGCGCGCATGCGTGCAACCGGAGAGAGAGTACTTCTCACACCTCAGCAGCAGGTAGTTCGTCGCCTGCTGCTGCGAATATCCCACGTGGTGAGTCACCACGTGCGACAGATACATCCGCTGCGTCTGCAGCGGGTACCGCGAATCGTAATCCAGATGAGTCTGAAATAGAGATCATCTATTCTGGCGAGTCGGACGATGCATCCGACTCGAAGGCAACACCTCACGCCTCTGGATCACCCGGGGCGGACACTACAAGAGCCAGGTTGACTGGCTCTAGTCAACGTGGCAGTATCATGCTCGAGATCTTTGGATCGAGCGATTGTCCCGACGAATCCTCGCCTCACGCATGTCCATCCAGCGATAGGACGCGTGGGGATGGTGGTGCTGCACCTACACATCACAACGAGCAAAGTAACTCGAGAGATCGAGGTATCACTGGTGTCAGTGCTCATGCTGACACCAATCAACAGGCCAGGGACCGAAATGTCCTGCGCCACGCTCCTCAATTGGAGTCTCCTTGGATGCTGTCATCCAAAGAGTTGGACCGGTTGGCCGGCATGACTACCGATCGGAATCGAATCCCGTTGTTCGATTGTAGGAAGTTTTGCCCACCTAATACCAGCACGGAAACTATCCGTGCTGAGGAAGATTTCTTCACCGATGCGTTTTTTAAACATCGGTGGTACAATGGCAGACGTGTTCGAGACAGAAAGGCCTCGGCGCAAGGATGGAATACCCTCATCCAAAACATCGAGTGCATTGTCCGCGAGTCCTGGATCGGTAAAGTTGATGCAGCTCGCATCAGGTTCGAGAAGCGCAACCCAGTCGGGGTGCAATAAAAGTTGCACTGAATGTCAAGAGAGGCAGGATTACCCTGTCTCTCGTTGGGTAATTCGTGTCCAGGTTGCCTGGACAACTCGAACCGTGCCCCTAGGGAGGCCTTCCTCCGTAATGATCCCTACTGGAGAGCGCGCATCTCTTCTGAGATGGTCGAAGGGATTGACACTTCGAAATTCCTGTACTCACGTTCGGGGTGGTCGTTTTCCGACGGCCCTTCTTCGAACGCGGTTGGGTCTTGTCATACTGCTCGAAGAGACTTAGGACATCAACAATCAGCTGGGCACGATGCTCCCAGCTGTTCCAGGCCGGTGGATAGCCACGCCAGCGAACGAGGTAACTCGTCCGGACGCCGTTCACATTGCGGTGGTTCAAGATACGCGCCATTAGGAAGCGTTGACCACCAATTGAGTCCACCAAAGGATGTGGTGGTGGCGTAAACACCTGATCCGGTCCGAGGGTCGGATCAACTTGATGTTAAAGAATTGAACCGTGTAACGGAGCAGTTGCAAGATGACCTGGCTCATGAACGGACTCGGCGTTATGAGCTCCAGGATCTTGTACAGGATAATTACAATTCCTAGCGAACGGTCGTTCGAATGATCGCGCCGCGTTTGCGTTCACACAACTTCAAAGCGAACGTTCGATCGTTCTCCTCGTGACGAGCTGGCTGCGGCTCGTCAAGACAACGCTCAACTGCGTGAGCAGGTCGCTTCGCTAGTAGACCAGACTGGCTCTTTGGAACGGGACCACTCGAAGGTGGTCTCGGCTCTCGACCGCGGATGCGTTCTTCGCCTCTTGAAACGGGCTCGTACTGATAGTACGGGCGAAGACGTCTAAAGTAAAACGCAAGATGCGTACGCAGCTTACGGGGCAGTTCAATCGTGTATGCGTTGCCCATCCGGCGCAACACACGAAATGAACCGATATACTTGGGCAGTAATTTACTGCCGCCCACGTTTGTTACTGCGTGTTTCGGTAAGTTTACTGTAGACCGTAAAACTAAATCTACTTCATCAAATGAAAGAACACTTGTTCTTCTTTGTTTGTCTGCATTTCTTTTCTGCCTGTCTGGTGGATCTGCAATGTAGTCTTGAACGAAGCGGACATCCGCTTCGCGATTCAGCATAAATTCCTCTGCTGATTCATCCTTGTCAACAGCAGTGCGCTTCGTGTGAAGTGCTGAAAGAACGTCGTCTTCACCAGCGACGGCGTCATCGTCCTCACTGTGGCAGCCATTGGAGATGCTGAATATGCCAGTATCGTCGTCATCATCATCATCGACGTCGATGTGATTGACACCCATCACGTCGACACCATTGTCGACGGGTGATGAGCATGAACCAGATCGGTTTTTGTTCAAGCGATTCCACCCTCCTGAAACTATAATCACACTCTAAGACGGCGGGAAAACGTGGATGGCGTAAACCATTCACGAAGAACGGTGTATGCGTTGTAGACACGTGCACCGAGTTGTTGATGGCGAATTCCACCATCGGCAAGAACTCACTCCAACTCGTAAACGAGTGGGCGTACCCTCAAAGTATCTCTTCGAGGACGCGGTTAACGCGTTCCGTCTGATCATCCGTTTCTGGATGGTCAGAAGTCGAAATATTCAAACGTGTTCCAAGTGAACGGAACACGGATCGCCAGAACTCCGCTGTGAAGCAGGGGTCCTTATCAGACACGAGTTCTCGGGGTAATTCCTGAAGTCGGAATATAGTATCGATGAAGACACGAGCACAGCCCTGGGCTTTTTCGACTCCGGTACAGCAACAAGATGCACCATCTTGCTGAACCGATCAAAAAACACAAGAATAGCAGCATTCTTGTGAACGTCTTTGAGAATTACAAAGACGAAGTCCATCGATACGGACTACCAACACTCTGCCGATATCAGTAGAGGCTGCAAGGGTGCGCGGGATGAAGGACTAGGCTTCACCCGTTGACAAACTTCGCAAGCGCGAATGTATTTGCACACAAACTCATACTGGCGAAGATGGTAGAAGTCACGACTTACCGTTAGGTAAGTCTTTTCTCTACCGTGATGCCCTCTTGTCGGGGCATTGTGACACTCATACATGATGCGCAGTCGCAAATCATTACGAGCCGGAACGACGACACGAGGTGTGTCGCCGTTGACTGCTGTATAGTACAGCAGTCCGTCACGGACGGAATACCGTTCGGTTGAAGAGCGAAATTGAGACGATAAGCTCTTCAAAGCTTGACTGCATGGATTGGATACGTAATCCATCAACCGAAAAAGAGACTCATCTTCTGTGTAGGCTTTTCGCCCGTCGTCGAGCAGATTCGACGACGGAACACTCACTGTTAGTGTCGAGCAGTCGGATCCAAATTGGGCCGGCGCGAAAGAGCATCAGCGACGACATTAAGTCGTCCTGGTTTATACTCGACAGAGAAGTTGTACTACGCAAAGAAAGACAGCCACCTCACCATTCGTTGCGGGAGGTGTGAACTGTTTATGGCCGTGCGTAATGACGCATGGTCGGTATAAACGACGAAGGACCTATCTCCTAAGAGGTATACCCGAAACTTAGCCAGTGCATATTTCATGGCAAGATTTCCTTGTCATGCACCGCATAATTTCGCTCAGCTTCTTGCAGCTGACGCGATTGATAATAGACGACGTGCTCAACGCCGTCTGAGTCGTACTGCATTAACGTGCAGCCGATTGCAAAAATGCTGGCTTCACAGACCACGTGGAATGGTTTGTCTTGGTCTGCAATTGCCAACGCAGGCGATTGTATCAGACTTTTCTTGATACCTTCAAAGGAGTGCTGACACTCAGCACTCCATGAACACCTCTCGTTCTTCTTTAACAGACGATTTGGATGTACGGTCATCTCGGCGTAGATGCGCGAGTACTTGTGCAAGTACGCCGCCAAGCCAAGGAACTTTCGAAGTCCCTTTACGTCGACTGGCACAGGCCAGTCGATAATTGCCTTGATCTTTTCCGGATCAGGGAGTACACCGTTTTTACCCACGATGCAGCCAAGAAGTGGTATTTCGTTCGCTGCTAATGTACACTTCTTGATGTTCGCGAACAACTTACGCTCACGCATTAGTGTAAGAACCTTCCGGACCTGGATTCTATGAACCTCTACGTCCTTCTTTCCATCCATAGCCCGGCTATGGACGAAGGCATCGTCGAAGTAACTGGGTGCGAAATCGTGCACTGATCGCAACAGATTCGTAACACTTCTGTTGAATGTTGCAGGGGCGTTTCTAAGCCCCTGTGACATCACTAGACACTCCCCGAAAATACCACAGCGGGTCTCACTGCTGTGTACGGGATGTCCCGTTCACGCATGAGGATATGATAGAATCCATCCATCAGATCAATGGACGAAAAAATGGTACTTTTTGCCATACCATCTATGATTTACATCCATCCTCGGTATCATCGTTTGGGCCGGTACCGTTGCAGCGTTTAATTTGTTGAACGCGTGCACTATCCGCAACCGTCCTGTGGCCTTTTGCACACAGAAGGTCGTAGAGCTGTGTGGGGATGTTGATTCCCTCACATGACCAGCAGCTAAGCGATCGGTAAAGAATTTGTCGATCGCTGTGACTGTTCACGAGGCAGTGTCCACTGCTTCATGACACAGTATTTCAAACCTGGTTTAAGTTCGATCTCATGCCGAGTGCCTTGTCCTCAGGCAGCTTGCATGGCACGAATTCAGGGGAAACATCCTTGAATTCAACCAAATCCTTATACAAAGTATTTGTCTTTATAGACTCCCAAGATTGAGGCGTGTATTGCTCAATCCGGGTATTCTCATCGAGGACACTCTCGTCCATCAATGAGCAACTGAGAACCCGTTCGTTTTCAGCAAACACTTGTACCGATCGAATATCGGCGACGTACTCGTCCTCTGTGACGAGTATACAGATCTGCTTGATCTTGTCACTACGCAGATCTCGCAAGAATCTTTTAGATTCTAGTGTTGGAAACTTGATTACCTCCGAAGCTGACCTCGGAGGTGTAACCAGATCAAGTGTATAAGCGCATACACTTGATACGTCATTCACCAAGGAATTCACCGTCTCGGTGATTTCCTGGGAAAACACATCCGCAGATGTTTGGGGATCCATACCCTCAGCATAACTCTCTCGGGAGTTATCACTATCAGAAACGCTGGAACTTTCTTCCAATAGGTGCACTGACTGTAAGTAAAATACCACAGTCACGTCCTCTTCGATCGACTCCATTTCAGTCGATCGGGCTTGCTCTACGATCGAATCTCTGTTAGTCGATCTCGCTTCAACGTCTTGCTCATCCTGAACAACACTAATCTCTATTTTTGGTGTGCATTCGTGTTCCAGTCCACTCGATCTTTTCGATTGGTGAACCTTCAGTGAAGCCTGTGTCTCTACACAGGTGCCGGAGGCTCGTTCCATAGTGTATTGGCCTTCTACACTGTGATCTTGTGCAGTCATACTAACGACCGACCACAAGTGAGGTCATCGCACTCACTCGTAGTACAGCCACACGCTTGTGGACGCTCCAAGACGTTCATCAGATGACCATCTGATGAACAAACGGCAGGCATCTTCACGGATCGATGCTGCCAGCTGACCCATGGCTACTACTTTCTAAGCCATGGCAGAACGAGGATGATATCAAATTTTTCATCCAAATTCAGTACGATGGAGTCATCATCGTGCTGCTTTCCTTCCAGCGTGTAGTGGATTCACACTACACGTTTTCACTGTTGTCGATGCGCCTGTAGCAAGGCACACCGTCATCCTTGTTGGAAGGAACTCTCGCTTAACATAGTGGAGCCTAATATCCTCTGGCGAATGGCGTCGAATAAAACTGTTCGACGCCTCACAGTCATCTAGGGCGCGAAGCGACATTACACTTGTCACTTCAATCTTCAAAGTGATTAGGGACACCTCATCACTAGGGGCAGTAACACACAGCGACTGTGTGTTGGGAGCAATCTTCTTCAAGAGTCCTGCAAATTATGTTGACGTTGCACCGTGTTGGATCAGCAGGGTGCTCCGCCCCTACTGAACTGTCCGTTTTTTTGACGGCCCGATTTGCTGTAGCGGCTTAGCTACATGGTCGGACCCACGCCTTGGACCTTCTCTTGGCCAACGCCGGTCATCACGTCCTGTCTTGGACGTGTTGCGGTGCTTGGGACACTACACCCATGAGCGCAGTGTCTAATCTTCTGACAGCGATGGCATCTTGCCGTTCGCTTGTGACTCGGAGAGCAAGAGATCTCGCTCTCGATGTAACAGAGGTCCATTGGTTTGGGACCTCCTGGTTCCTGTCGTCTCGTCGGACGATAGTTTGACGAGTTATCCTGAGACTGTCTCAGGCTGAAGTCTTCTTGTTCCGCATGCCATATCGCCTTTTCCAGCGTATGGAAGTCCTCTTGGAACATGTAGGTCTTCACTGGCCCATCTACAAGACCGTAGATGTTCACATTGATGAGCGTGTGCTCATCAACAGAGTTCTCCGTGACGCTACTCGCAAGGTAGCGTAGCTGTTGTGCGTAAGCATGCACGTCACGCTTACCTTGCTTGAGCCTCAGGAGTGCAGAGCGCGCTCTGAACTCGGCTCTCGGCGGTTCAAACTTCTCTTTGAGCCGAGAATTCAAGATTTCTAACGACTCACACACGTTTGGGTCGTGAAGATTGAGCCCTAACGCCTAAGTCTTTGCTCGTCCTGTCAAATTTGACAGGGCGGAGGTGACTTGCATATCGTCACCCTCGATGTGGTGGTCCCTGTGGTGACGTCTAACTCGACGAACCATCACGAAAGGAATCTTTATCGGTTCCCTTGTACCTTGAGATATCCATCTTCACGGTTTCGGGTCGACGCATGTGCGTTGGCCCGCCCATCGACTGATGAGAGCCTTGCTGCTGTAGCAAGGCTATCTTCTGTCGCTCGACGGCAAGTTCCCCTTGTAGGAACTTGTTGATAGCAGCATGTTGCTGGTCTATGCTTAAAGACTCCAAAGTATCACTGATGGCGGGTTATCCCACGAGCACACTCGTGCGGTCGACTATCTCCCTTTCTGAGTCACTCACATGGAAGTAGCCTTCACGTGTGACGTGAAAGCTGTCGTCTTCTACATCCAACATGTTCATGTTGGACAAACACTAAGTAGTCGTTGGACGGACTACGAAGTGCTACCAGAGGTGTAACGAAGCACCCTCTGTCTAGGTGTCACGAAACTTCACGTACACTAGTACGTGCAGAGGAAGCTAATCTACTCAACAACGAAGCTTAGTAAAGGGTAAAAAGAGAACTGTACTTAGTACAGTTAAGCTATCAATATAACTTTAGTCTTTATCTGACTATATTAACCTTCGTCGTATGAAGACAACCTGCTCACCACTCATTGCGCGTGTCTAGAAGCGATTGGTCGTAGTCTACGGCTGATATGCCTTTTATCAAACGGCGTTTGAGTAGCACATGATTATATTCGAGATGGACCATATTTAAGATATATTGTACCGTTTTAATATTATATTTAATATCTTCCGACATACATAATTTTGGACGAACGTTATCCCCATGTAGGATAGTTTATATGCGCTGCTCAAAGATTGGTAGATAAAAGGCACTTCAACCATAGGTTACCACCAATCTATGCTAGATGCGCGCGATGAGTGGTGAGCAGATTGTCGTCATAGGACGACATAGTTTAAAATAGTTCGATAAAGAGTATTGATATCTTGATAGATTAACTTTACAAAACACAGTTCTCTTTTTACCCTTTACTCACCATAGTTGTTAATAAAATTAGCTTCCTCTGCACGTACAAGTGTACGTGAAGTTTAGCTGCACTCCGAACAAAGGGTGCCCCGTTACAAAGATTAAATCTTTTTTAGGTGTTAACGAATGAATTTTCCTACTAACTTAACGGTGTTCTCCGTTCCCAAATAACGATTCGATTCATGCTAACTGTAACAGCATCCTGTCCCCTACAACGACCTAACATGTCTACGTATCCTAGCAGCACAGGTTCAGCATGTCTCTGACATGGATTCAAATCCCAACAGGCTTTGCAGCAAAGCTTTGTTCGTAGGCGGCAGACTCCAAACGGATTGATAACAACGTTATTCACAACATCCGTCTTAGCAGCCATGACCCGGGCAGCAGTAGCAACTTAAATGTGTCGATTCATTATCTTGCTGAATGTGATACAGTAGCACGTAATCTTTTGTTCTTTAATATCCAGAGTTTCATCGTCCACGATTCGTGACCTGAACATTTTACGCACAGGGCTTCGAGAGCTAGTCTTTACTATTATATCTCTTTGCGAAGATGCCTCGAGACATTTGCACCTCAAACTGCGGAGACGGGCGACGATGATTTTAATCGCATCACCAACATTTGCGGTTGGGTCAGTTTGGATATGGCTGAACTGACCTTACGGCACCCGCCGCCTTTTCGGCGTCTATATTAGTGGACGCAAACTAACTACAATTTGGTAATAAGTACATGCCAGGACCATGTTTCCCCAATAGCTTGCCTAATAAAGTTGCGCCTGGGAGAGGACCGAATCCACTGGTTTCTGCAATGGGATATGCTGGCCTTGCGGTGTAATTCTGATAGCGAGTTTACGTACTGGCGACAACAAATCACACAGGGCCTGATATTTCTGGCTCATCTGTCTCTCCATCGACTCTATTGGAGTGTGCCGGAGAGAATCAGTAATGGACGAATTTTGACAGCAATTTACGGAGTGCATCTTAACATCATTATTGTCGGCTTTCTCCAGCTCTACAGAAATGGATGACTCGCTTCGAAGGTCAGACGCGGACAGACTTTGGCTCGCGGCAGTACACATCAAAGTCCCACACAAGTTTGGAATCACGCAAATAGTCTCATTGAGTACAAATGTGGACATTTTATCGCATATCTACCAACCAGGTGAATCTATTTTCACGCCGGTCGTTCCGTGGACCACAGCTGCAGAAAACTCGAGCTCTGCCATGAACGCAAAGAGACCACGACGTATATATAATGGGATTATTATACATCGAGAGCATGTTGGAGCATACTCATTCGGCATCGAACTGGAACGGGTGCAGGAGA